ACTAGAACTATATAGAGTAGATTAAGCTCTACGTAATAACTACTAGCCAGCACTAGATAATTCTTAGACAGCCCTAGATGTATAAGCATTAAGTAAGGCCGAATTATAATATAGAATAGCTAGAATTTATAGCCTAGTGCTATTAAGACTACTATATACACATAGATAGTAACTCTTATATTAGATTAGAGAGCTCCTCTATCACGAAGAGTGATAATATGACTGGTGTTAGTAAAGCGTAGAGAACACCATCACTCTAGATCTAAAAGCTTACTTTAACATAGAGAGCGCGACATGATAACTAGTGTAAATTACTACGCCACTAGTTATAAGAGTAGGACCTAACGCCTATTAGCGGCCTTAATAAAGCTCCTACAATTAATAGTCTAGAGGAATCACCGTAGGACGATGTATTAAATAATAATGCACCTTATACTATCACCCCACAGCTTAATATATATGCGATATGAGTAGCGCCCCTAATAAGTCTAGTGAGAAAACTAGGACATAAGATCTATGCTATATTGATAGCAGACATCAATAAGGCACTAGTAGAGAAGAAGGATATTAACCCAGCTACTAAGGTGCCACCTAAGTATTACGATCTACTATATATGTTCTCATAGAAGGAAGTAGATAGACTACCTAAGTATTAACCATACGATCTAAAGATCGAGCTTTAGGGTGGTAAGTAGCCTAGATTTGGACCATTATACAGCATGTCTTAAGATGAACTAAAAGTACTAAGGAAGTACCTTACTAATCACCTCACTAAGGGCTTTATATATGCTAGTAAGTCCCCTATAGCTTCGCCAGTTATCTTTATAAAGAAGCTAGGTAGAGGACTATAATTCTATATAGACTATAGAGCGTTAAACACGCTAACTATTAAGAACTAATACTCTATTCCTCTACTTTAAGAAACACTAAGCCGCCTAAGCAAGGCTAAGTACTATATAAAGCTTAACATTATCACCGCGTTTAATAAGCTGCGGGTAGCAAAGGGGGATAAATGGCTAATAGCCTTCCATATGAGGTATAGGCTATTCGAATACCTAGTAATGCCCTTTAGACTGGCCAATGCCCCAAGTATATTCTAACACTATATAAATAATATACTATAACTATACCTAGATGTCTTCTACACGGCGTATATTAACGACATCCTAATATATAGTGAATCACTATTAGAGCACTAACAGCACGTACGCCTAGTACTAGGGGCTATGGAAGAAATAGGCTTATAACTTAATATTAATAAGTGTGAGTTCCATTAAACTCAAGTTATATACCTTGGTTACGTGATTACCACAAAGGGTATTTAGGTAGATCCTAAGAAGGTAGAGGCGATATAAGACTAGGAATATCTAAGGAATGTAAAGGATATAAGAGCCTTCCTAGGCTTTATAAACTTCTATCGTCGATTTATACTAGATTTCTTAAGATTAGCTTCACCACTAGTGAACCTCACGAAAAAGGATTAAGTATTCCACTTTAGTAGCGCCTACTAAAATGCATTTAATTAGCTAAAGGCTACCTTTATAAGTGCTCCTGTGCTCCGCCACTTTGACCCAGAGCTACCCATTATAGTAGAGGCTGACGCCTCTAACTACGTAATGGCTGGAGTACTATCCTAGAAAGATAAGGATGGAGAGCTGCAACTAGTTACCTACTACTCTAGGAGAATGAACCCTGCTGAAGGCAACTACGAGATATA